TTTTGTTGTCGCAAAGAACAACATACATATTTCGTTGATTGCAATCGCTGTTCTTTTTCTTTGTTAGAATTTCTTCGAAAACAATTGTCCATCAATAGACAGCGAATGGCAAAATTGTGATAAGTACAATTTTTTGCCAACGTTTTTAAAACTTTTATTATCATGAGAGTACTCATACATCCTATTTTATAAATTGATATGACTTTTATCTCCATCCCTATTGTACAAGATATAAATTTCGATTGCTCATTGTTGTATTTGTCAGACATTCACACATTCTTTGTTTTCTGTTTCGATTCATAAACTTCTATTGTGGCAAAAATGGAAAGTCTCGCAATAAAAAGTCAGAAACAACGAAAATTTTGAGATAGGCATAATGATTGATATCAATATACACGTGCGCGAGTTTTGATAAGTGTCATTCAAATGAATGTCGAGAAAAAAGTTCAAGAAACTGATTAAGAGTTTCATTCTAAAATTAATCTAGATCTTAGAAACATATTAAAATAAGAAGTGATTATAGTAATTGATCCGTCGTCTTATCAATAGGCATTGACTGTTTACATATTCTTGTCGAGTATCCTTTCAGATTTATTACCATGTACTCCTGACAGATAGATGGTTAGTAATTTTTTATATTTTTAATCGAATCTTAATTTAGTTATGAGGAATTAAATTCATGAACTTGTTCACGAATTTGTTATTTTAGAGAGACAAGGATATGTAAGTTTTCTCGTCGTTTCTTCTATGTAGCAAGGTTCTTTGTTGAACAAAGACAAAATCCTACTTGGATATGAATGCAATTGTAGTCTTCTTTTCACTTAAATCAGGGCTCAAAGACGAAAGCCATAAAGTTTCGTTTTGAGACATGCATAAGGTTACTTCCATACCGTTTAATTAATTAATTGAACACTCACTCCATTCAAAATGGCAACCAAATCGTTCGAATTCGGTACATTTTTATTAAAAATAAAGTAGACAGCTTCTATTGGTAGTTTAGAAACATATGAAATAAAATTACTAAATATTGAGCCCTATTGAAATGAGTTCAAGTTTTGAATTCTCTTTTTCTTTTATCTTGAATCAAAAACTTCTCTTCATTGGTCAATTATTCGCCTGAAAAGCTGTAGCTGTGGATATTCACTTCATTCATTCTTACACAGCTAATTGTCGCGCCAAAATAAAAGATTTTACATCCAAAGGACCATCAACTGTTGACTCGTTTGAATACCTTGATGAAATATCTTTTTCAAAATTACATCGAATTAATTAAAAGTTTGTTCAATTTACACACTTTAACTCTGAATAAATGACTATGGCTTTTAATCTAAACATTCAAAAATGTGGTACGATTCTTAAAGAGTAAATAGTATGACAAAAATCGAACAGAAAAACAGAGTTTATCATGTTTTCAACTTCTTTGTTTTAAAAGCTTTTCTTACGACTATTTACATATCAGAAGTTGCAGAACTTTATGAGCAATACTGTTGCATAGATGGCGTATCAATAGGGTCGCTATTGAAATTTGTCGTTTCTCTTTTCAGTTTTTCATCCTACGTTGTTGGGCAAATGTTCAATGTTCAATCATTTGAGATATGCTGAAATACCTTTTGTAAAAGACAAAGTCGTCAATGTCGTTGAGAAATAAATTCGACACCTAGTCTGGGGTTATTATTTTAGAATATGTTAAAGACAGAAAATAGCAGTGACGTGTTTTTGTTTGGTTCGACAGTTAAATATGAACTCGCATATCACTTCATACAGACCAGAAAACCAGTACACTTAAAGTTTGACAGCAGTAGGATGATGCCAATTGAATCAAATCTGCATGAAAGTACTCTAATGGCATGCAGAAAAAGAATATAACATTCATTATTCGCGAAGTGGAATTTTTAAAAAACCGTGTGATAATAACAAATCTCTACAAGTCATATGAATCTAGAAAAATAGCTTGGTCTTAACTTTATTGAAATTGAAAGAAGATAAATAGGATAGAATGGGACGAGTAATAGAAATTAGAAAGAAGGGATCCAGCAAGAAAGATAATTTGTTTGAATTGACTTTCAACGACTATGAATATAAATGCGGTTTAATATTGAATCGTTGCACTCGATGATTGGAGTATTCACCAACATAAAGATTGCCCTTTTGATCAAACAGTATACCTACAGGACCATTGAGCTGATCTGGTTGTGCACCTGGACTCTTTTCACCGATCAGAACAGTGCCTTGCTCAGCTCCTTTTGGCCACCGCATGATTCGATGATTGCCGTAGTCTGCAACATAGACAGTGCCCAACTGATCGACGATCACTCCATGAGGACGGGACAATTGCATGGCGTTGCTACTTGAACCTCGACCACCAGCCACAACAATACCTTGTTTTGCACCTTCCTCCCACTTTATCACACGATTATTTGTATAATCCGCCACGTACAAAGAACGATTTCGAGTAACAAACATGGACGTCGGAGTATTTAGCTGATTAAGATCATTACCTTGTCCATTTCCACCTGCCACTATTGTCCCTTGTTTGTTTCCCACTTGCCATCGTCAAATCATATGCTCGTCAGAGTTACTGGTGTAGAGAAATCCTTCTTCGTCGATTGCCAAACCGTAGCAGCTGCAATTAGCAATCAGAATTTCTGGAATTTGATTTGCATCACGAGGCCATCGCACCACTCGGCTATTCCCTGCATCACAAATGATGAGACTATCTTGTTTGTTATTTAAAACCACATCCGTCGGCTGACTTAATTGATCATTTCTTTTTCCGGGCCCATTTCCACCTGCAACGATTCGGACGTTCGTCGACTCATAGTTCAATTCTATAATACGATGGTTCAAGTGATCTGTGATATATACTGTTTGATTAATCTCCATACACAAGCCCATAGGTTCATTCAACTGATTAAGCCAATGGCCCTTTTCATTACCACCGGCAACAGTAATACCATGTTGTATCCATTGAGCATTTTCAGGAATAATAACATTTTGTAATGGTACTGAAACGAAACTCATCATATTGATATTTAGTCCAAACGAATATCACATAATAAATAGCCATATAGTTTTCTTCTATGAAGTCAAGAAAGGAGAACAAATTTCAAGAGCAACTTTTCGACTGAGTCAAATAAATCAATATTGTTGTACTGACTTAATCATCAGTGATCACAATTAGAAGTAAAGCCATGTCCTTATGCATAACACCTTTCTAATGAATGTCTATTCGTTTTAAAGTCAAATTTCTAATGGATTATTTATGAACACAACCAATAGAATTACTATCATTGTCTGACGAAATCTATCGAGAGAGGCAGTCAAACACTATAAAGTCGTTTCAATAATTTGGTGTGAATCGTGGATATCAATTTAGGTGAATAGCAGATCCATGTGCCCTCTTATCCTCAAGATATCGAATAAATTAGTACATTGAACGTTTTTCTTTACTAACTTGTTTTCATAGTTTTCCACCATCAAGAAGGGAAATGAAAAAACTAAGTTTGGTTTACTGTTCGTTTTCTTTATATTGATCTCTTTGCTGTTGTCGTACATTGTCACAACGGAATCGAATAAGACAGCTTATCTTATCCTTGTTCTTATTTGAACTATTCTGATAGTTGCCCTATATCGTATAAGATAAACCAAGTTACTTAATTCAGATTTCTTTTCTTTTCATCGTTTATGTACTTCTTCTGATAGTTATTGAGCGTTTTACGAAAGAAATAAACTACGAGAACTTAGTCTAGTTTTGTTTTTCTACGTTAAGTTATCACGCGAGTATAGGTATTCCCTACAAGTAGAGATGTTGATTGCATGTTCATCTCAGGCCCACACATTATACGTAAATATATCATTTAGGAGAAGGCAAAGTCTGTTAGAAGATGCAAAACGATAGAGATGTGTTACCAATATTTTAGAAAAATGTAAGAATTTAGTAAGAGCTCCATCAATTGAAAATAATTGAACATGCGCTGACTCTAGTTCTTCCTATAGTCGTCATTTTTCATGAGATATTCAAGATCAAGAACTTATTTATGTAAAAGACCAATGCAGGTGACTGAATAATAGCTGAAGAGAGAATCTCTCTAGATATCTGTTCACAATTTTCATTATTTTTTTTTATAGATATTCCATAGTGTTCTAATAATAATCCTTGAGAGGGATAGAAGTTCTTATTAGATATTTTGCAAAGCTGTCTAATTTTCAATTTGTGTTTTCAAGAAGCTCTCATGCGACCTAAACTTTTTAGAAAACAAAAATCTTCGAATTTTAGTCCGAAACTTTCAGTATCTAAGGAGCCAATGTTCAATGAGGTACTATCTATGAAAAGAGCTATATGCTCAAAGTTCCAGATCATAGCTCGAATATTTGGATTTTCCGAAAAACTGGATATCTTACAGAAGCTTCTTGGAAACTGATATACTATAAACTCGATAGATGACGCGTATGATCTGAAGGTTTGCATTAGAATACTACATAGTATTCATTTTTGCAAAAAAAATCATTGAAATCGAACTTAGGAACCTGAAGAAATTTTCTTCTACGCGACAACTTATGATACAAGTTTTTTTTTCATAGGCTGAGTCTGATTTGTTAGTTTATTACAATCATTGTTTGTATTCATTTTATCGTTTGGGTTGCTTCGATTCTATCAAGTTGTGGGTGTAAATACTTATTTTCTCCTTTTAACTTTTGAATTCCTCGAAATTTCAGCATGCTTGAAATACGAACACCTCTCTCAAATGTACAATGCCGCATAAGGAAATGACCTTTTATGATGGTGCATTTTCATCGTAGTAGGTATTCTGTCAATCTATCCTTTTCTATGTTAAGGTATTCGAAATAACCTTGAAAGTAAAAATCGAATCACTAGAGCTCCTGCTCCTTAATTGTCTGTAAACGTCACATGTAATCTACATACCTTCCGTCAAGTTCTTCAAGTGGCACGATTTGCTTTCCAGACACTTGATTCGATTCGAAAGCTGCTCGTATTGTTGACTTATGTTCACTTGAATCGCTTCCAATCGCTGTACTTCTTGACTCACGTTCATTTGAATCGTTTCCAATCCATTGAATACTCGATCATGTTCTTGATTCATATTGCGTTCAATAGCTTCCATTCGACGAATGATTTCACTGTCATTGTTCTTCATTTTTTCTTCTAATTGATTCATACGAATAGAAAAACTCGTTTCCATATTGCTACTGGTATTACCGAGTTGATTCGAAAGCTTCTCGACTATCTTCACTAGTTGATCGACTCTTTCTTCAAGTCTTGAATGATTTATCATTTTGTTTGCATCCTTTTTATGTATTGGACATCGACGAGGTAAAACATGAACGTCGGATCTCATACGAACCAAAGCTATATGAGACAGAAGTTTTGTTTCCATTCGCAGTGAGCTTTGCTTTATGAGATGAACATCGATCGACTTCGGACGAACGATATCACCTTCTAGATAAACATGATCAAAGTGTTCAGCAAGAGAACTATCAACGACGGAACGTGAAAGAACGTATTTTGTGTCATTTTTTCCTTCGATTCGAGTTATATTTAAGTGATTCTGACCCGTGTTATTCACATTCGTTGTGCCTAAGGTACCTTGGTTACTTTGCGAATTTTGTGAATGCGAATGATGACTTCCACCTCCACCACCATCGAATCTATATGGACCGATAGCAAAACTGACACTGCCCTGACCCTGACCATGCTGCGAACCGAGCGTGGAAGAAGTACGTAAGTAGGTAGATAGAAACTTATCGAGTTTCTCGAATTGATCAATATCATGTTGAGTCAAGTGAAGTTTTTGAGAATTCTTAGCTGCATTACTATCATAAACAAAATGATCACTGTCATTTGATTCTTTGCGAAAAACTATATTGAGTACTTTCGAAAGACGATCAGGTCGCATTTGCTCTTTTGTCCAATAGAGTGAGTCCCACAATCGATCATCTGCTTTTTCCAATTGTACCTATGAATTTGATTTATATTATAAGAAAAATAAATAAGAAGAATCTGCAGCCATTCTTAGTCGTTCGAGTTCAGATTTTACTAAATTAAAATGCAATATTTTCTTGAATGTGAAGATGGAAAACCAATATTATTGAACTAGAGTTCTTCAAGCACTATCAAATTTTAACTGCGATAAACTCTCCTAGCGCTCCACCCTAGAGATATTCATTTTTCTGTTTGTAATCAAGACATTTTTATTTCTAACCTGTTTGAATTGAAGTTGTCGTTCAAGTAGCTTGTCAATAGACACTGGGTCCTGAAAACTATCGAAACCTTCTTGAACTCGTAACATGTTCACTGGTGATCTCAATTTGTCGTTCGACGATCTTCTCTGAATAAAGCGAATATTGAATTTCAAAATTCGACATTTGACATCGATCAACGGTTGCCGAGCGTGCTTGATGACAGACGCTTATATTGTGTGTATAAATAATAAACTGAACCGATTGAAGAAGAAGAGTATTTGAATGCCATTGATCATCGACTAGGTACTTGAGACGAGACATATTTGATCGAAGACCCTTTTGAACAAGACGAATAGCATTCATAGGCAAAAGTGATACATCACATTTTGTTGTCATATTCTCTTCAACATCACCATTACAGAGAGTTGGATAGCGTTTGTTAATATAGGCATGAACATCACGAATCAACTGTGAAGTATATAAATCGACCGAAAGAATAAGTTCTGTCTGACCACTGAGTTCATTTTCTTGACATTCTGTACTTGAAGGATCAACACGTGGAAACGGTGTGAAGAAAATATCCGTAGGCTTCTCTAGATTCTGAGCGAGTAAAACTTCACCATCTTCGTATTTTATCCGACCGATGTTACTCGTACGCACTTTCACATGAAATATTCCACCATCCGACGCTTTCTCTTCAACTTTTGAAACTGTTGTTGCAAATATTGTCAAAGCGAGTACTAGCAAGACGATAATGTTTTGCATCGTGTATAAAATGTATTTCTTCATCGATTGTGTATGATGAAACTTATTTTTGCTTTCTTATATTGTGATAGATACATCTATTCCGTGAAAAATTGCCCGATGACAGCAAAATGATAAGAACACAAATGAGACAGCTACCAGGAAAGAGACATCGAAATATTTGTTTTTATAATAGAATATGTTTTACTGTGTTTGAGAGTCAGATGATATTAAATGACGTGTCAGCATAATGAAGCAGAGCTTGAATGTCATTGCGATCCTTCTATTTCAGAACAGATAAGAAAGTCGCTAATGTTGTCAATGAAACCGTCAAAGATTCCTTCGATATAAATGAGTCGCGAACAGTTACTTTGACGATCAGTATTATTCGGTAGTTTGACTGT